GTATTTTCTACTAAGTTAGAGGAAATTACACACACTTTACCAATTTTCTAGACTATAACACTACAGGCTGAGGCAGTAAATTTCACAACTAGCTGAGTCTCTCACAGAGGTTTGAAAACAGAAGAACCATAGTGACAAATATAGAACCAGCATGTGTAATCATACATGAAAATGTTAAGTTGGCTTTCAACAATATGATGCCCGTACTTAAAGCCTTAAGAATTTTTTCTTTAAATCTTGGAATTCACACTGAACAATGAATATTAGCAAGCTACTATGATGCATGACGACACAACACACCAACTAATATATGCAAGGTAGCAATGAAAATAACGTATACATATGCTCTGGCAAATCAAAGAGGAAATAATTTCTTCCCACATGCAACATTTGTTAAAAAATGCTAATATATTGGGAAGGGCTGACTATTCAAATTCTATTTTTCTGAAGGCAGAACAAACTTCAAGCTCAAATGCCAAGTTATTTTATAAAGTAATTTTATGTAAGATAAAACTGATCAAACTCAGTTTTCTAACAGAAAATAGTGACTCTTACAAAATGGAAACAATTAATTAGACTGCCTCTCCTCAGGAAACTTGGTTCCCAGAGTACTTGACGCTGCCATGAAATATTTTCTGGTCACTTTGAGGGGAAAAATAAAGGTGGTATCTGCAATAAGGTAAATGCATATGCAGTCACTCCAGCTGTGTGCAATCCCTTTGCTGTGGGACCATGCAGTTCCCATCATTACGAAAGGACCATAGCCTGCACTACTACTAGTTATTTACTAAGGTGACAAAGGTTCTTCATACCTTGCAAGCTGTCCTTTGTTCTGTTTCTACATTTTGGACACTATAGAAATGAATTCTGTCATGAAGGTGACTTCTGATTAAAGATTCAACAATTATTTGAGCCAGTCTATGGCTATTCAGAATATTTGCTGTTACTTTTACTTCTTTGTAGTATTTCCGTTTTCCAATAAAACTTAATTGTTTCCACAAACAAAAGACTATTTTCAATTTTTAGATGACTAGAATATTTTCAAAGAATTACAATACTGCATATAATGTATTTTAAGCTGATCTAAAGACCTTACTGATTCATAATCAGTAAATTGTCTCCCTGCCATTGCAATTTATTATACAATACATAGTAACTTAATTATTATCATTAATAATTATTCTAAATTAACCTGAAATTCCTTTGTTATCCTCAAATAACTAAGTCCTCAGTTAGTATCTTTCCAGATAACATGCACTGATGCTTACAACAGCTTACGCGAGTATGAAAATTTAATGCGAAGAAGGATTTACTCTTACAGTGTTATCAGTAAGATTTCTAGTTCTTTCCCTGCCCTTTTCTGCTATTTCTATAACAGGTGAAGATTGAAGAAAATCTTAGAACTGCAAAGCAACACTCCCCTACAAGTTAAATAGTTATTTTACTTCCTAAAGGACCGTAGCAATTCGGTTTGGCAGACGAGGATCAGAGACTACAAGCTGAGATTTAATCAGTCAACTTATCAAACAGAGACCAGGGTGAAACTTTGATTTCTCTGAAGGAAATAAAACTACTAAAAAAAAAATCCCCCAATAATTTCAGGAAAGCAAGGTTTCAAGATTATGGTCCATCCACCTCTGCTGCCTCCTTCTGGCTTCTTGATTTGACCCCTATTTTTCTTTGCACAGTTTGTCTCTCTAATATTCTTCCTCTCCTGCAGGTTTTACAAAATTAAATCTTTATTTTGTGATGGCTGAAATGAGCACGTGGTAGTATCTAGCAGCATCAACGCATCTAAAATTGTACCGTTTAAACATATAACCTTCTACAATGTTAATTTATGCTCCAACAAGAAGATAAGGAAATAAAGATTACAGTATTACAGTTTTTTCCAAAATTTTGCTAAAGACCATGGACCGCTGTGATGTCTTAAGGTTCCTCTGGGAACACAGTATTTAATAAAAAAGGAACTTAAGCAACTTCAAGTATGTACCAAATATAACTAACACAGATACGTGTTTTGTCATCAGAATAGTGACACACAAGCAGCCTACTGAAAACAAGAACTCATTTTTATACCACCTGTGGATTATTTCCGCCCCCCCCCCAGTAAAGGAGGATACAAGACTTAGGATCCTCAGAGAACACAAAGAAATGTTCAGACTCAAATGACAGGGAAACAAGCTTAAGATCCATGCAACCAAGATACCCTAGCATAACCATGTATTTAACACATCCATTACATACTGTAACTGGTATCATATTGTAGCAACTTATAGCATCTTCTTTTCTTCCAGCTAAACCACTTGCTTCTCTTAAAAGCTTGTCATTAATCATGGACTATCACTTCACCATCACAGTACAAAAAAAAAAAAAAAAAAAAAAATATGTTGTGGGGGGGGGGGGCGTTGAATGAAAACTGCTTCAAAAAAACTTATGATACTGAACAAATGCCGCTCACTTTCACAAATTAGTAGGCATCTATAACTTGCCCAACAGTATTACCATGTAGCTGGAACTCCAACTACCAAGAGTCCTGGACTATGCATATGCTTGTTACTGAGGGTGGGCTTTCATACTATCGCTAGAAAGAGATTGCTAGTTTCAGGAGGATATAAAAAAACATGGCTGAAAAGAAATCCAATTTAAAACAAAACCAAACCAAACCATAACAGAAACATGGCAGCATGTTCCCATTCAAGTTAAGAGTATAAAGCAAAGAAGTCAGGGAACAGTGACTGAGATAAAACATCAAAAGACTTGAAGAACATTATCACAGCAGATTTTTGGTTGCAATTCTAGACTGTACGAGTCAGGAAGAGATTAACGAATGATAGGGTGCCTATGTATATGGAAATGTCAAGCAGTGAATGTGTCATTGCAGGACAATTACGGACACTATTCTTCAGTCACGCTCATCACCAACTGTCGTAACTGCAGAGCTAGGAGAAGAAAAGGAAAACAGATCTTCTTCTGCGCAAATAGAGTGAATATTACAGTTTAATACAGTTCTAAAAAGTTTAACTTTTAATAACCTAGTGTAGTTAATATTACAAGTAAAAAAAAAATCATTATTTTTAATAACTGTATCCTGAATAACAAAGGACTATATCACTCTTTGAAAACCACTTAATAGTTCTTCCTCAAATTATCTTACTGAAATAATAATTGAACAATTAAGACAAAAGACCATTCTGTGATTCTGTGAAAAGCAACTGGGTATCTTGCTGCAGTGTAAACAGGTGGAAGTGGCATAATTAATTTCCACATGTAAATAATGATCTGCATAAATCATTTGAAGCTTCACTATAAATTATCTTTGACAGAAATAAACCATTCATGTGCTGCTATCCAATAGTTTTCCAACTCTAAATACTGGCTGAAATAATGCATATGAATACACAACCAAGCAAGTTTATTTTTCCATCTATCCTTTCCTACAGACACATATACCACACAGGCAAATGCCTAACATTTGCAAAACCAGGGCAGATATTTGTAAAGAGTAAAGTACTACAGATTTTCCTCAAATACAAATGTATTTTTTGGGTGATTCTACCTATTCAATGTGTCATCATGGAATGGAGGAATTACTCCACTGCCCCAATGTAGTTACTAATTTTCCCAGCATAAATTATGATAGCTTCATTTTTGATCCAGTGAGGCAAAATATCCAGCTGCCAGAGGCTGCAAACACTGTATCATCAGGGAATAATAGCAAGAGTGACTTAAAAAAAAAAAGCTCTCCAAGATGCAGCCTTCAGGCCTTGGTGCTGGGAAACACGTTGCAGACACTCTGCAGAGTTCACACTGCTCTGCTTTTTCTTAGAGCAAATTAGTCCTCCTCGCTTTCCCCCCCAAATTGAACAACCACAAAGGTGCCAGTGCTGCATGTTTACCACTGCCCTTCAAACGAATTTCTAGAGGGAAGAAAAAAAAACCAAGCTATTTCTTGTGTTTTCTTCATCGACAACTCAGTGTGAAGAAGTCCTTTTCAGTGACCACCCCTCATATGCTACTTTATGTTTTATATATGGTTTCCATTACACTAGATACAGTCACAGGCTACATGAGGTCTAGGGCTGTGGAAATGAAGCTTCCTGCTCCCTGACCTCAGTAGTATATAATCTTTTCAGCAAGCAACAGCCACAGTAGATCCAAAATATTCACTGAGTAATTTCAGCTTGCACTCAGAAAGGTAACTTCCATTAGTTGAGAGACACACCTGGGAAACAAAGGTCCTGTTACTGCACCTGTCCTTCAACTCCATCTGACAGAAGGGTCAGAAGAGAAACATGTTCAGAGACAGCAATATCATATCTGAGTGCACATCTGTAAGCTCTTTTTTTTTTTACCCCCCCCCCCCCCCACCCCCATCTCCAATATCCATTTTACCGCTGTATTAGGATCAACTCAGGTTATGTTTTTACAGCTAATGTCCCAATTACATGATGGACACAGGACCAATTTCCAATGGAGAAAGAAAAGGTAAGCTTCTCTTCAGGTGTCCACGTCACCCAGGTAATAAGAGAGGAGGTAAATAAGAAGTCAGGACTGACAGAATACAACCTACAGTTACAGCCTTTTCAGCCAAACAAACTACATTCTTTAACAGTACTAAGAATCTAGGAGTCTTCATTATTCCTGTAATAGAAACACCCCAAAAAAAGGACAGAAATGACACTGCACAGGTTACATAATGAAACACCGCAGCATGAAATCTGAACACAGACAGCTTCAGGGAATTGCAGAAACATCATGCTGGCCTTCGACACTTGGTGACAGATATAGCAAAGCAGTCATGCATCCACACTCATACGATGTGCAAGTGTTTGCATGGCTGTAGATCTGTTGCCATTCAGAAGAAGTCTGTGTGAACCCTGTCCATCCCCTTGCACTGAAGCAGAATTAAAATTTATCAAGTATTTGACTAAACTGTTTTTAAAACCTCTGAGCAAGTTGTATAACACACAGCATGAATTCTGAACATTCACAACATCAAAGAAGTTGCTCTTAAAACTTTCAATGATGATTTCACAACTTCCAGATGTATCTTACTAGCTTATTTTTTTATTCCTTTGTAACAAATCTTTACTGCCAAGTAAGCTAACTATTCCCTTTTCTGCACAGGGACATACAAAACAACCAATCTGCCCTCTTATAACTGCTTTTAACATACTAAGACACTTGCATGGCCTCTGTCTTTTCAGCATCAGCCAGATCCAACGACTTCAATCTATACTCACGTACCCCGTTTCAAAGTCACGATCTGTAGCTGTGCTCTAGAATCCCTCAAATGTATCTGTTTTCCTCAGACTGCAGTGCTGTGCTAGAAGTACCCCACCCAAGGACTCGCCACCTTCAAGCCACAAAGATCATCTTCTGCCTTGTATAAACGTAACTCACGAATCTTTCTCATAATCATATTTTTAACCTCTTTTGTGAAAGAGCACTCCTATCACTGCAGTGATACAGCCATACTGTAGTGCTGAAGAATACAGTTCAGATATTCCCCATCTTCTACTCATGCTCTTGATTTCTTTTTTTCCAAGCACTGAAAATAGCAATTTAAGAATTTCATTCCTTTTGTTTTTGATCTATTTGTTCTGATACTTTCTTTCAAAATAACTTACATATCCTGAAAGCTTCAGTCTGCCAAATCAGATATTCACAGTTTGGTGGAATAATCAATTTTTTTTTTTTTTTTTTTTTTAAATGAGAACTGACATAGAACACTTTCAATGTTTTGTTTTTCTTTTTTTTTTTTTTAAACAGCACACACAAAATATTTTCTTTGACTATGAAACTAAATGTTCCGTTCATTCTTCAGTTATATAGTCTTTTATTTCAGTTACCTTTAATATAAAAAGGTCATTTCAAATTAAAATATCTCAATGCTTCCTCAAACACATTTGCAAACCTTTGAAACTTTGTTTCAGGAAATTTACTGTGAGTTAACCCAAGCTTTCCTGGCTGGTTGTCATCCACAAAAGTGGCAACTACAATCTCTATTCCATTATCCCACTGGTTAATGATGAGCAACAGAATTGCTCTGAACAAGAGAACACAGAGGTTCTGTGGGATACAATAAAATATGCTTTTCTAATCCAAGAGCAATATTACCTGCCTTCTTGAAGACATATTTAAGATAACTGGGCATATACTTTACGGTGATTTGATTGTTATCTTATGAAAATTGCCTTGGGAAGCCTGGAACAGTATTACTAAAATTAAGATACAGAAAAGTCCTTTCTTATATAACTACATGGCCTTTCCTCTTGTCAGAGAAGGGAATCACCTTTTTAAAAATTTTTCTAGGTATTTATAAACAGACTATTTTGTATTCTACAGTTAATGTAGAATTTCTATCACTTTTGAAAATCTATAGCTGCTAAGGAAATTCACAAATCATTTCTAATAAGTACATCTCAAGGATACAGTAAACATGAACAAATACAAAGAATTACTTATTTACTATAAACCCTTCATCAGATTCTTTTGCATTGTCTGTGCAAATTAAAACCTTAAAACAGTTTCTCTGTATGAGTTAAACTGCCTTGCCTAGATAGTTCTTCAAAGGATTCTTCAGTCTGCCCACATTCCAAATTGATGTTCGGTGTGGAAATCAACTCTCCTAAACGCTGTCTATTTCACACACCACCAACCTCTGTAAACACAGGGATATGAATCACGAAAATAGTGTACAAAAAATTTGTAGCTTAACCATACTGTCTTGCTTCAGTTACTAGCAAGATGATATAAATGTATCTCATGAGTCACCCACCTGAGACGAGCCAAAAGGTTAATCTTGAAGTTTGCATAAGAATTAGATTACTAAATAGAGCTTTGCAGATTGACAATTGCACAAAGCAGACAAGCAAAACCAAACCAACTTATTTAGCCACAAATGCAGCCAACAATAAAAAAGTCCTTAAGTACTTATGAGATTATAATCTGGGAGATGGCAGGGAGGGCTGGGGGGTGCAGGGAAGAAGGATAAAAAGAAATTAAAAATCAGAGATGCTTGTTTGACATCTACACTGTTTGCATGCTTTGTATGTACCTTGTCTCAATTCAGCTCTCCTAGAAATCTCTGCAAGATAGCACTTTGGCAAAGGGAACGATGAAAACATTGGCCAAGGATATGGATCACTGCCCTAGAAACAGGACCAGAAAGATTAATTTAGGAGAAGAATTAATAGTATTTGCTCAGTTAACACACAGGTGAAGTTCCCAGAATTATTGCCAATGCATCAAAATTATTTGATACTACAATTTGCAATGAGATATTCCATAACTTAAAAAAAAATAAATTAAAGGATACACAATCCAAACAGCCTTTGAGCCTGACTTTTTTCTGGTATATACCATTGACAGTTTTGGTTTTACAGTTCTTTTTCAATGAAAACAGAAATAGCAGGGTTTTAAAAAAAAAAAATATACATTGATCTTTGCTGTGCTGACAGTAATATGCATTTTGTCTTTATGAGACTGACAGCCAGTGAGAAGCAGAACATTTAAAGGAGCTGCTTAACAAACACTGTATTGTTAGAACATCGATGAAAGCTCCAGGTATTAGATACTGCAGATGAAAAACCAAGTACGGAAAAAAATATCAAATAAAAGGAAGATATAACAAATGGAAAACTAATAGAGAAAACACAGAAATATAAAAGCAAAAAAAGGACAAATTGCATTCACTTTTATAGTAGGAAAAGTAACATTAAAAAGGAGCAACAAACATTTCATCTGAATGTCGTATGTCCTAGGCACATGTCAATTCCCAGATAGTGGGAACAAATGTAGTTTTTCAGTGTATTGCTTCTTAAAAATTTTAGCCTTTTATAAAGCTAAAGGTGGACTGGTATTTCTTAATGTTAAATAATTTTCCACATGCTGAATTATCATTATTAATGAAGGCAGGAGTTATGGAAAGAGAAACTGTTGAACTTTAGATTCTAACCTTATCTAGTACTCTCAAAGGCAAAATCCTTTCCTGTGGTCCTCCAATCAGATTCATTCTTACAAGAACATGGTTTCTCTCCACTGATAGACCATCAATTATAAAATCTCTGAGGAAAAACAAACAAACAAACCAACCCCAAAAAACTCCAAAAATCAGAACCACTTTGATTTACCGACTGTTTAATTCAGAAAACTCTAATGAGTAACAATACCTTCAGAGACATACCAGAGTTAAAACACAACCTGGAAAACACACAGGCATAAAGAGACAAACAGAAACATGAAGTACTTTGAGATGTCTGCAGGCATTATCCTAACTTTGTACCTTCCCTACCTACTGCTGATGGGAAACAACGGAGCGATTATTGGACACAAAAGAGTAGAAAACTTCACAAGCTTTGTTGTACCCACATGCTCGGTAATTAGGGCAGAGGCAGTTAATAGTCCATCAAATTTGCTCCTTATTTGGCCTACCAGCAAATTTTTGCTGTCACAAATAAGCAGAGTTATTCATAGCTTAACACACAGCCAACTTGCCATCTGAAGTCACTGTGTAGCCCAAGGTACAAAATTTTTTTAAAAGAAATAAAAATCTGTTTTTATACAGCAAGTTTCTTACAACTTTTTCCTTAGTAAGGAAATAGTAGGTGTCATCCTCAAATGCTAAATAACAATCATCTATATCTGCTGAGATTTCACCCATACTGTTTGATTTAAACCCTGTGCTGGTCCCATATAGCAAACAGTAAGAGGAAAATTCTTAAAACTCAGCATGGTGAGAAAAAGGACAAAATGTCTGCGACTAAGTGACTGTCTACTTCTGTCCCAAAAATATATTTTTCCTTTTGAAAGGATGCATTGTGCAACTTTTTTTTTTAGAATTCAGCAATGGAAAGTCACAGAAGTTGGAGAGTCAAACAAGTTATAAATAAATAAACCCCCAAAACCGAAAGTACTGATGATGCCTTTAATTTATAAACATTAAAACAATACCCTAATTTTATATTATATACATAACATAAAAGAATAATACAAAATAAAAAAGGCATATTTACATCCACAAATTTTGCACTCTTTTTTTAGAAATAAGATTAATAGAAATTGGAAAAACATTTGCTTTTTTATTTCTGACACTTTTGAGGTAGACATGGGAGAAAGAACAAGACTGCTGTATCTTTTTATAATTTAAGATTGATGACAAACCTGCATGTAAGTAAAACTATGCACAATCAAAGCAAACTTCAGTGAGAGCTTTTGTATGTTTAAAGCCACTAAGGTATTCATGTATTTGTTCTCAGGAGAAAAGTTTGATAGTTAAAGTAACATTGACATCAGTCACTTCTTACCCTGGTCCTTCTGAATTTTCTGTGACATTTTCCTCCTGAGCAGTCAGTAAAACTTGTGACACTTTATACTGAGTCTCCAAGAGTAAAAGGGTATTGAGATCACAGCATAGCACATTTAATAACCTGCAGAAGGACACATTGAAATGATAGCACATCGGTCAGAAATCAAGTAATGCAGAGTAAGACAAAAGCAAACATGTTTATGAGGTCTCAAAATAGGGGGGGGGGGGGACGACGGGGGACACGACAAAACACACACACCCAAAAAACTTGACGTGTCTGAAAAATATCCAGACAGAACTGGGTCAGGGACACTCTTCTGTATCCTTTTTAGACACTCAAGTGGCACACCCTTGAGCAAACAGGAATTGGTTCCCAACAGATTTTTCACATGCACTGAAGAACCAGAGAAAATATTCACTGGTCAGCTCAGTCTGCTTTTGAGTTTATGTCACAGAATACCAAAAGTGACACAGACTTAATATGATATTCCATGTGAAATGTGAAGAAATTATACAATAGGCTGTTAAGGCAACTCAGAATCAAGTTTTCTGAAACAGGAAGAAGGGAGGGAGATAAAAATATATCTTTCCTTTAGAAAACAGGCTTTTAAGCACTTCTATATAATCAAATTTAACACAGTTCAAAAGCAATAAAAGATTTAACATGGAACAAAACCAACCAATCTGGGTCTTTTTTTTTTATTTCAGAGAAACACAAAACAAGAGTAAATGAAATTAATGAAATAATCACAAGAGCACATGACAGCACATTACATACAATTTTCTTTTATAACTTCAGGGTAAATTAACAGTGAAAGTACTCTAATATATTTCATGTAAATCTGACGTAGGTCAATCCAAATCGTATTACTTTTTTTTTTTTTTTTTTTTTTAAATAATCTTTGCACCCTTACAAACCAACAGA